GCTCTACCACTTGAGCTACAGCGCCACTTCCGGTTTTCTGGTGGTTTATTGGAGATAGGAGTCTCACGGTCTCTCCTGCCCGGGCTGGCTTTGAACCAAGATCCTCAGATCTCAGCCTCCTGAGTAGCTAGGATTACAGGCGTGAGCCACCAGCACCCGGCTTCCTGAGAAATCTTAAAAGGATCCTACAGAGCAAGTCCCATCATTTAATTTTCCTCAAACTTACTAGAATCAATTAGTTGTATGGGGGCTTTCCTAGTATTTTAATTGGAGACATGAGTTGTACAAAGAGGGGTGACTGACAGTTCCAAACACCCTTCCCATCCCTCTCCCTCCTCCCCTCCTTCCTCCTCCCGTTAACATAATGTCAACAGATTTCATTGTCCTATTTTCATACATGCAAATCAACTACTTTGACCACATTCCCTCTCTATGTATGGGAATTTACCCCCTCCAGCTGCTGCCCCCCCCAGAGCCTAGTTTATTTTCCCATCACTCATTTGTTAGACATGTGCATTAATTGTACCAAGGGATTTTACTTGGTATTTCAGGCATGCATATATGTTGCTTCTCCATCCCAAGTGGGTTTCATCTTGACATGCCATTATACAGTGTACCTTGCTCATATTCCTTCTGGCACCCTCCTCTCATTCCCCCCCCCTTCCCTTTCCTTTTTGAGATGGGATTTGTGTGTGTGTGTGTGTGTGTGTGTGTGTGTGTGTCAGTCCTGGGGTTTGAATTCAGGGCCTGGGTGATGTCTCTGAGCTTTTTTGCTCACAGTTAGTGCTCTGCTACTTGAGCTCCACTTCCAGCTTTTTTAAAGTGCTTAATTGGAAATAAGGGTCTCACCAACTTTCCTGCTAGGGCTGGCTTCAAATTATGATCCCCACATCTCAGCTTCCTGAGTGTTAGGATTACAGACTTGAGCCACCAGTTCCCTGCTGAGAGGGTCTACATAGCCCAGGCTGGCTTCCCAACTCCATCCTCCTGCCGCAGCCTCCAAGATGCTGAGATGAGAGGTGGCCCCTCATGCCCACCAGCTCAGGTGACAAGGGTCTCCTAGAGTCAGGTCTTAACCTCAGGAATGCAGACCAGGCCTTACCAGCAACCCCTTCCCAGAGGGTCCCACCCTCTCACCCCAGGGGCAGGTGCCCCTTCCCTGCACTGTCCTCACCTGTGTACAGTGGGCCCTGGCCTTACAGCCTTGATTTAGGAAACTAGAAAGGTAGGAAGAACTACCAGTCTCCTCTAGTCCCTGTGGCCTCCTGCCAAGCAGCCAGATGGGAGTCAGGGAAAAAGTGGAGGCAGGGAGCAGTGGTTGCAGGCAGATGGATGTTGGTGGTTTGGACTCTGAAACCTGTTGTTCAAACCCACGGGGTTGCTGTTCTCCCAGAGGGAGACCATCAGGAGGGGACAGGGCAGCCAAGGACGGATGCCTTCCTGGCAGGAATCCAGCCCCGAAGTGACACTTGGCATGCTAAAAAATAAAAATTACCTGTTGAGGCCACAGGATTCTGCTGAATTTTCTTTTTTTTTTTTTAATGCCATGCTTTGTTCCAAAAAAGAGTTGGAGGCATTTATGAAAATACATAAAAGACAATGGGATAAAAATAGATCAGAGAGAAAACAAGGCTGGAACAAACAGTACCACAAACTAAGAGACATACACATGTAATTATATACACAGGGACTCCAGGTGGACCTCCACTGTCCCTAAAGGTGAGTCCCAAGTTGGACTTGGAACTCCCTGTCAGTCAAAGCCGAGAGAGAAGTCCACCTATTACAAGAGTCTGAATAATAAGCTGGGCACTGGTGGCTCACGCCTATAATCCTAGCTACTCAGGAGGCTAAGATCCGAGGATCACAGTTCAAAGCCAACCTGGATAGGAAAGCCCATAAGACTCTTATCTCTGATAAACCACCAGAAAACTGGAAGTGATGCTGTGGCTCAAGTGGTAGCGCTGGCCTTGTGCTAAAGAGCTCCAGGACAGTGCCCAGGCCCAGAGTTCAAACCCCATAACCACCATCAACAACAAAAAGTGAGATTCTTATCGCCAATAAACCAGTAGAAAACAGGAAGTAGCACTGTGGCTCAAGCAGCAGAGTACTCACCTTGAGCTGAAGAGCACAGAGACAGAGCCCAAGCCCAGAGTTCAAGCCCCACAACTGACCAAAAAAAAAAAAGGAAGGAAGAAAGAAAGAAGCAAGGGAGGGAGGGAGAGTGGGAGGGAAATGAAGTCTCTTGGACCTTCCTAACCAGTCTGTCTTCAAACCACAATCCTCAGATCTCAGCCTCCTGAGTAAGTAGGATTACAGGTATGAACCACCAATACCCAGCCATATTGTATATTAAAACATTATATATTAAAACATTTGAGCTCTTCAGCTCAAGGCGAACGCTCTACCACTTGAGCTACAGTGCCACTTCTGGTTTTCTAGTGGTTTATTGGAGATAGGAGTCTCACGGTCTTTCCTGCCCGGGCTGGCTTTGAACCTTGATTCTCAGATCTCAGCTTCCTGAGTAGCTAGGATTACAGGTGTGAGCCACCGGCGCCCGGCTTATTAAAAAATTTTTTGTCTATATATTTTTATCTGGTTTTAGAATTAAATGAAAACATGTCTGTGATTCCCCTAAAAGCACTGAAGGCTCTGACCCTGCCCTGTGCCACAGAGCCTTGGCCGAGCCCAGATGGGAACAGCCCGTTAAAGATGAACGGATCTGAGCCTGTGATGCCAAGGGCTTTGCTGGGATGGGGGACCCAGGATCTCTCTTTAGACAAGGTGACTGGGGCAGGAGCCCCCCAAGGAA